TCAACCACACACGTCATCTTTTACGATGGCACCACCAGCAGCAATTGGATGAAGACCTTGAGCTCAGCTGCTTGAAAATCTGTCTCCGGGTTTAAACTCGACGCCGGACCGAAATACATATGGTGGTACTAGGTGGCTTCTAGTACCGTGTCAAGTGATAGGAGGAGAGGCACTTCCACCGGTGCTTTCCCTATAGCGCTTCCACTATTGCTTAAACAACTACAGTACAGCAGCACCACACCTCAGATATCTTCCAGAATGATAGCCATCCGTGTAGCTCCGGAAACACCTTATATCACCCTCCCGTACGGCTCAACAACAGACAGATACCAGCGAACACGTCACACACCACACACCACTCCTGTATGTATCTGCTGTTGCTTATGTCTCTCCTCAAGACAGATATGCAACGAACGGTGATGTGCAGACTGAACTAACGTCTATAGAGGCAGGACTGGTCTCCGTTAACATGGGGCAACGACCGGTGACGTTTGCGAGCGTAGACGCTTTGCACGCGTATGTAATAGCGTGTACCATCTTCCATCACCTCCTTGTGCGCATTCGCCTGTAGCTCATTCACAAGCTGTTCCGATATGCCACTGCCCAATAACAACGGCCGCCCCGACTTTAGGAACACCTGCAAAATGACAATTCAGGACCGATCATCAGCGATGACAACTCTAAAAACACTTTACCTCTATATCTTCCCTCATCGCCACTCCGATACGCAAGTCCAACGCGCTGTCTGTAAGCCACGGCGTCGCGGGAATGAAATACTCGTTGTATATCACATCTTCAAACCGCGGATGAAGCGAAACCCAATCATGGATATTAGTCGCGGCATTAACGTCCCCACCTCTACGTCGTGCAGCCATCTCGAGGTACGCCAACCATCGTGGCCACCATGGTTTCCCAATCGTGTTTACATCCAACTCGATCCGGTGGAAATCTTCATCGTAGCAATGAAAATCCCATTCCGTAAGATCGATCAATCCTCCCGGCCGTAGGACACGGCTTATTTGGTCGATCATATGTTCGTAATTTCGGATCTGTGGAGGGATGAGATTCAAGGATGCGTGCGATTTGGAAATGGGGCTTACACCAGAAGATATGAGCCGACAGTGGACAATGTTGAAGTCCCCATAGAAATGTTCCAGCCCGAGATTGATGTCATCGACTTCGCTCCTGCTCGGCAGTCAGATTGGAAATCAATTTCAGGGTGGACGCGTCGCGACTTCGTACCTGCAGTTGGGAGGCATATAACTAGCGAATACCAATGGGTCTCAGTAATTTCGGAACTTAACGAAGAGGGGCGTACGGCGATTGCATGGGCACGAGATCAATGGCAACGGCGTTACAATGAGGGAAGTCAAACGCGGCTTCCATTATCCTAGTTCCGGTAGTGAACTTGTATTTCGAAGGAGAGGAGAGATGACATACCAAGCGCCACTACCGCAACCCAAGTCCAAAACGGCTTTCGTTTCTCCTGGCACATCGTCCGCCATGACTTGCGGCAGCGGCGGGATATATTTTCCCATGACCTCTTTAAATATCTCGTGTTGGCGGTCTAAATCATGTTATGGCCGATTCTGAACTTCCGAAGTCTGTCTCACCTAGACGCTCTAACTCTTCTGCATCGGCGGGGAGGCGGTATATTTCCGAGAAATTATTCAGATCGCGTCCAAACTCCTGTACATATGCTTCTGCACGCAATGAGCTCGTCATGGACCAGACAGAAGGTGTGGGTGACACTGAACGTATGGAGGAACTCGTGCGAGAGGTAGATGTCGGGCTTGGGGAGGCGGAAGATCTTTCACTGTCGTCGAAGTCATGGTGGTCTGCGTCGCTCATTAATGTGCGAAATTGACGTTGGGTTGAGCGCAAAGGATTCTATTTAACCGCTCACGGGACGTGGTGTGAGTCTCGGCGGACATCAGTACGCCATCCGATACTTAGTGGCAGTTCCTATCCCCTTCTTCCGATCATCTCAGCTCTGCATCCTATAAGTAAACCAGTCTATTCATCGCTTTCTCAACTCCCAACATTATCGCCATCCGTTCCGACCCGGAATCTTATTGGCTACATACTCCCGTTGCACCGATCAAACTATGGAGGCAATACCGGCGGCGCCCAATTGATTTGGTTCCTACGCGCACGAAGGTCAATCAAAGCTGCGTTTAATGATATGCTGGCTGTGGAATTGACGGTGTGAGAAGTATTCGCAGGAGATGCGGACGAGGAACGACAACCCAACAGGAATAATACAGCAAAGCTCAGTATCGAGTCCGGGCTGGTTTGCTTTCAATAACGATTGCTGTTCTCGATTCTAAAGGATCCCGGGTATAGGCATCGAGGCATCAGCTTCCAGTCTCGACGGGTTTTAGGAGATTCCACATGATATGGCTCAGGCTCTCTAATGCCTTATCGCACATCCTCAATGTGCGGCGACGGTCCGGCATCAACATAAGGTCGGGCTTCCCTTTCTTCTCTTTCGTGCACCATATACGATCATACGTTTACTGGAATCACAGTGACTCATCCTCTATTCCACGACCTTCGAACCATCGTGTTTGAAGAAAAGGTGAAAAGTCACTGTTGAGCCTCGGCGGGCAGCTTGATCAATGATAGCCACACACTCGGATTGCACTCGGACACCGCTTTTTCCAGGAATTTTGAAACCTTCGTGTCCTGAACTTCTGAGGAAGGAGGGGGATGATTTAGATGTCTTCCTGACTGTGGGAAAGGTCTTTCAAGAGGGCGCGCAAAGATACATCAAGATATGCTGGCTTGCATGTACAATCATAGATGATGTTGCACGGGGTTTGCAGTATGGGACCTGTGGAATCGGGAGGATCGCTGCACTCGCAATACACCATACGAAGTACAGGTACAGAAGGGACATACTAAGCATGCAAGGAAATATAATCAATGCAATGAAAATATAGCAGAACGAGGCGCGTGAGAACGGGGAGGAGTCCTACAATGACATGGACGTGCCACTTTGAAACCCTTACCGCCGAACTCACGCGATGTCCCCGATGGAAGGACTAAGACATTAGTATGGAGATGGGACGACTGTTTTCTGCTTTACGAGAATAGCTACAAGGCCGTCATCAATTCATCACTGGCAGGGGTGACGAAGAGGCCGATACCCAAGGGCCGTGTATAACTGCCGACAATGAACGTTGAACAGTAAAACAGCGGAGCATTTCTTGAAGAGTGAACAGAGTCCCAGGACCCAGGAATTCTTGATAGCAAAAAGAAAGGCGGTGTAAGTATCTACCACCGGGCCGGTAAGCGGTCACTGCTGGGTCCGGTTCTTTTCAGGACGGAAAAAGGTATTCTGAATGTTGTGACTTTTCTTTCCCTTTGTATGCCGCAAGAATGGGATTCTGGAAACACAATTAAAAAAAACCCGTCTTATTCAGTGCTCCTTTCGGGTACCAAAAGCAGCTTCTTTTCTGCGAACGAAAAGCGATTTCCTTGGTTCTGAGCGTGGGAAACGCTTTGCTTATACAGTTTTTTCGGCTCTTTTTCCTTACCCCAAAAGAGTACGGAAATTATCTCATCTTGCAACTTGTTTTTTTTTTTTTTTGTGAATCCATTTCTATCATTAGAAGTTCAGATGAAATGTCACGACATTTTGAAATCGTTTTTCGGCGTGGAAAATGTACCGGCTCCAGCAGTGGGTGTCAGGGCCGGGACGGGCCGGTCAGGTTTCCCAATTCTTTCCGAAGATTCTGAAGAATGAGAGGTAGCGCCAAATTGTCTGGACAGGGGCTGTGTCTGAACATACTTCAAACCCGATGTCTCCCTATTGGTTGGCACACTTTGTAGGTAATAATTTCTTGTTCGAGACCTAATGCGTATATGCAGGGGGAAGCAGTTCGAATGAAGAGTATATATCTGAGATTTAGATTGTGCGCCCCACTAAGTACTTTTCCACATCTGATCGAGGTGTATCTTATCTTAATTCTTCTTGAATGAGCAGTTACCCAGAGCCATAAAGTCAATAAAGCGGATACAGTTCGGATACAGCCTACTGTTTCTTCGATAAGCTAGTCAGTCTGGCTATGCCCGGGAGAGCAACGCTTGCAGCGTTGTGTCTATACTGTAGATTATTGTGAATATTAGACATCTAAATACGCAAAGTATTTGGGTGGTTTGTCAAAGGACGAAGGCCTGGAGGGCCGCAGTTTGGGTTGTTGTTGGAGAAAGTCGGTGGGTAAGAGTATGGACCGACGAGACAAGAAACCCAAAATGACGCGGCAGGCCCAAGTCTTGAGCGCCTGAGAACCAGAAGGCCAGAAGGAAGCCGAATCTGGTATCCCAAACACTGTAGGGAGTAGGTGGGTGGGACGAAAGAATGAGGGAACGGCCGTGAACTGGCCAGCGAGGGGAACGACTGCAGAGTGTCGGGACTCAAAGAATGGGATCCTTCCCCAAGAAATCAGTTTATTTACATTAGTATACATTTAATGGCTATGCCATCCGCCTGCTAGCTTATCTCGGAGAAAAGGAAAGAATCGGGGATCGGCAACTGCCGCTACTGGATTGGGCTGAGCTTCAGAAGGTCACCGTTCAGGCAATGACGAAGTGCAAGCCCGAACCTTAGCCTGCCATTAGGGTCGGGCTTTTCAGGGCTGGGTCAGGCTGGGTCGCGGACGTCGCTAGGGCTGGTTGGGTTGTGCACAAACCCGTTAGGTTGTATTTAGTCGGCACCTTATGCGCTGCCCCCGCAAGCTCTGTCCCATACACTGGGGTTTCGGAGCAGCAACGTATCTATCATTCAAGTAAAGTCCGCAATGAACGTCGAACAGTGATATTGCAATTGAACATTACTTATTGTATGTGTATTCTATTTAGGTTCTGTAGTTCTTGAGAAAAAATTGGCAATACATATGACAGTAAGGTAACGGTATCAAAGCACGGTAGCACTCCTCTAAGGAGCCGGTAAAAAATCACGCTAACCTGGGACCGAAAAAGCAGAGAATTTACTATACGCCGAAGGGGAGTCGAACCCCTACCGCTTGCTAGAGGCATATCTTGGTACCAAATGGAAGGCAAGCATGATAACCGTTTCACCATCGGCGTACCAAACGTCGTACTAAGCAGCTAGTGATGCTAATATTCCCAAGGCTTATTACCTAAATCAAAATTTTAGTCAAAGTTGAAACATTGAAATTTGCGCCACACAACGCATACATCTTGTAAAGTAATCCACAATAACAGTAAGGGTCCAATAATAAGATACATCATGCCGTATATCATACATAAATTACCAAATTCCAAGAGAGCAACGACGAAAGCAAAACAGATAACAAGAGTATAGCACGAATAGATAGATCTACGGGATGGGGGAGGTTCACTTCCATCTAACAATATCACCCTCTAACTCGACCCTCCTCTCCCCCCTACCCTCGCGAGCTAGGATGCCAACGCTGCGCACGACCTCGCGCAAATCAAACTCCTCCCACCGATCCTCCGGCATCCCTGCATTGAGAAACCCAACCAAAGCGGCTACTGTCAGATCCGTATCAGGAACAGAATACGTCGTCCGGAAGAGGTGTGTCAACGACGTATGGATATGAGATAACCTGCATCACAATCGATATTAATTACGGTAGCATGAGTAAAGATGGATCGATAGACTTACCGCCCATCGGGGCTATCCAAATCGACATAGGAAGAAGTCGATGAAGACGAGGTTCGCGGTGGAGGCGGTTGGGCCGGTGTGAACGACACTGAACCACCGACACGAGGACCGACGACGTCCTCGTCCCAGCTTCCCTCCGCATCTTCGTCTTCCTCCGACTCCACCTCCGCGCGCGGTCGCGGTGGATGCGCATGGACAGGGTACGGTGCCGAGGTCGAGTGACGCTGTTCACGCTCTTTTTGTGCCCGTTTCTGACTAGATCCAGGAACTCCGATCAATAAAATAGGAAAAAATCAAGGATTCGAGCAACCGTACCTCCGCATTAAACACTTGCCGCGATGCTGCAGCCAAGGATAGGCACAGAAGCTCGAGTCTTGGCGAAGTTGGACCCATTTCTGGCAAAGACTACAGAAGACCCGATTTGGTTCGACAGAGAGAATGAGGGCATCCGCGCGAAGAGTAGCTGCTCGCTGTTCGGCGTTGCGTCTTCTACTCTCGTGGGCAGGGGTGGATGAGAGTGGCGGTTGCGATGAGGCCTGGACCGGTGGAGAATCTGTCGGTCGGCGAGGTGGCTGAGTGTGAGATTGAGACTGAGGCTGCGACGACGACGACGGCAGATTGGCGCCCTGGTTGGATAAAGAATGATGATGATTGTTGACAGAGTGCGCCCGACAAGCTACACGGTGCTGAGCCCAGAGCTCACGGTCGTCGGGGACTGGTACGGGCACCCAGCAGTCACAGATGGCGCACAGCACGCGCTCAGCGTCAAATTTTCGTACGTCAGGATCCTTTGAGAAAGAGGCATTGCGTTGTTCGAGAGCGTAGGTGTTTTTAGAGGTTCTAGAAATTTTATTGAATATTTTTGAGCCTGAAGAGAAAGCGCTCGGGAACACGTACATCTTCTTGGCAAGACAGCTCTTACGGTGAGCATCCCAAGGTATGCTACAATAGGTCGAGTTCGGCCTGAGCCTGATCCACTTGTCACACGAGGCACACAGTACCCTGTATGCCTCAAACTGGGCAACATAGGGGTCGTTCCGAAGATAATCGATACGTTCGTCCTCTGTACGCTTGGCACGACGGCGCTTTGTTGGAGGCTGTGGTGTAGGGTTTGGCTCGCTGCTGTATTACGCCATAAAATATGAGTGACAATAGTGAAAAATAGTTGGCAAGGTCGACTGACCAGGTAACCCTATGCGCATCCCAGTGCTTGAGGGTAAACTCACCGCTATGATCATCGCGGAAAGAGACGCTGGTGCTGCAGGTCTCACATATGACGCGGCCACTCTCGTACTCTGACGGCTGGAGGGGCCTGTCACCACGATATTTCCTGTCCTCGACGACGGGGGGTCTGTTGTCAGTGCTGGAGACGGAGGGTGCACGATGCCGCTTTCCTAGAGTCGGGGGCGGGGAGTCGGAGCGCTTGATCGTCGGGGGCGGGGTGTTCACAGACGAGGTGTCCACCTCGAGTCGCGGTGAAAGGGATTGTTCACTGCAAGGCTTGGCGCGCTCTGCGGCGTCATTGACAGTGACGGCCTCGACGGGGGAACGGGACCTCGAGCGCGAATGAATAGCAGCAGTGGACGACATGCAGAGAAACAAAGCCAATGGTCATGGAGGATGGCAAGGATAACGATATTTAACATGGACGGACTCGCTGCATGTTCGGCTCGCCATTATGTTAACTGTTACGAGTTTGTCGTAGACGGAAACAAAAATGAAAAGGCCAAAATGAAAAATATTATCGGGGTATGTATGTCACGCGCGTCACAATGACCTATTTTTAGCATCTGACTAGTTCGAGAGTTCAAAGAGAGCCATATACTGTATTTGAGGCTGTCAACCCCGCGGATAGCCCTCTTTTCGCCTCCTCGGATAGTCATAAACAGGAAACGGATCAAATTGATAATTAATTATGATCCTAGATTTAACCCAATAGTAGCAGATCCTCAGTTTGAAGCAGCAACCGGCGACTTGCTCAGCGGAGAAGTTTCATCAGACAGCAGTCCAGGATCGATCTGCAAGACGTACGTACTTCGCGGGATGGTCTTCCATATGGCAGCAAGGCCCAGTTAGTCTCGTGTTTTCATTCAGTTCTTCTCCGAGAAAAATGACTATCCCAAACTTACTCATGAGTAATCATTTGAGCTGCACGTTTCAGTATTTATCGGCCCACTTGTCAGGTAATCTCCACCTCCAGTCCATATGGTGATTGTTCTATTAAACGATCATCAGCCCAAGTGGGTCTCCAGGAAAGAAACAGGCTGGTATCGAGCCTACGTCTCGCTGAATGACTGCCTCCGAAGAACGTGCATGTTCAGGTGCTCCTATGTTTGACTTGATTCTTGGAAAATAAGCAACCCAATCCAGTGATTTACCAACTCCTGAACGGCCAGTCTTACCCACAAGTTAATAGGCTCTCATCGTAGCATCCGCCCATCCCAGATCTCCACTCATTTTCCGCTGAATTACCATACCTATGTCTCTCCATTCAATTAGGCTGCTAGTAAACCAAACTAGACTGAATTAAACCTCCGATTTAACCAACCTTTCCTTCCTTTATTCTGTTCTTTTCTTTTCTTCTATTTCATCCAGCCGAACTTTGTCTATTGAGCAGCTAGTGAAAGGCCCTTAATATCCACCGATGACTATCTCCACTGTCAATTACTCACCACCGTCACTCGGAATGTAATGTCCCGATATCCTGTCCACCCGTCCGTGGCTCAGCTGAAACAGAGTCCATGTTAATCACATGCATAGTATGCTCCACCTCATACTCAATTTTCGGGTTCCTATCCGTCGGTCCTTCTTCCCATTTTTCCAAAGCCCCGTACTGACTTGTGCCATTTTGAAGATATCGATGATCTTCGTGCCTCAGCCTATCCCCATAGGGCATTCCCTCCGTAGCCATCACGCCGGCGCCGAAATAGACTCTTTCCATCCTCCTACCCAGGAACTGACATCAAATGATCCTGCCATTCCTTATCCACGCCGCTTCGATTGCTTACGCTCACTTCCCAAGCTTCATAGCGTCGATAAGTTGCCTCCTGTCAAGTCTTCATCATTACTTTCCTCGCGGTTTCACTCTCTGATATCGATCAATTCAAAAACAACGCACCACGACGAGACGCACGTGCCACATAATAAGAAGTTTCCCGATCGAGGCTCGAAGAACTTTTAGGCGCGCGTGTTGCTAATTATATCAAGTCACACCCTGGTTTACGTCATTATTATATGGGACAAGCCAACAATTGTCATCCAAGCCTCCATAGGGTCCTTACTATTATTGTCCGGATTAAATCATTTGAGTGTTCGAATTACCTCACTTAGTAGCCCAGGGCAGCGGCCAGTCCACACATGTTTAGACTCTGGTCGTCATGTTGGCAATGCACATAGTAGTAGACTAACTGACATACAGTTACATTCATTGGGTATTAATAATGGAAACAACATATATGAGGGGAGGGATCGAGGTTTTTAATAGTTTTTGATGGAAAGCGACATGGTTGGCAACAGTAACATACCCAGAAACGTGTATAGAGACGATAGTACGGGAGAAGACCATCAGGGAGGAAACTTGACAGCTCAAATCGCCGAAAATATGTTAACTTTTCATGTTAAAAACGGACGCCACCCCGACGAAAATAAACGGAAAGATCTAGACTGGATAAAATAGAGAACTAAAACATGACAACCTCGGCTGGCTAAAATGATTGGGGCGCAACATATTCACAGAGCGTCGGTGATCGGTTATGAAAGTCGTAAGCTCCAAAGATACTGAACAAAAACTGTCCGCGTGTATGTGAGAATATAAACAATCGCGAGATAATAGTGTTTGTCCACTTATTATTAGCTCCCAGTTCAAAGCTCAAAGCTTCAAGTTGACGCAGGATTTGGATACACGGTTGTTGCCTTATAAGCTGACATCATCGGAAAACAAAGGTCGAAACCTCTACGGAACAGCATATGGATATCATCATCCCTGCAGATAAAAAGAGAAACCCATTTCAACGCAAAACATCAGATTTGGCTCTCTCGTGACTGCGGCTTCCAAGTTAAAAACATAAGGTGAAACTTACGCAACTTTTGCGTCTTCGATACGGAGGAGGGGTGGGTCAAATGTCAAAAACTTTTCGAGACAAGAAAGTTATGGCGCGGGGAATAAACTAGATTCGAGCCTGTGGTAAGGACCGGGAAAGAGCCCCACAACAAGAAGAAAGAACAGCGGGAAGGTAAAGACGAGAGGCCCGTTAAGCTCGAAAAAATGGAACAAGCAAGCGCCAAGCCCAAGAATGAACGAGGCAAGTCGGAGAAGGCGCTAGTAAATACGACGCCACAGGGCCACGTTCCTGTCCCGTCATCACCGAGAGGGCGGGGACCGTTGCTTTTCCAAACATACACCAAGCGAGCTCTTATTTCACGGCATCTTTTCGTGCTC